TAAAAAAGATTATAGCTAATCTCTTTTGAGGGGGGGCTATCGACTATAAAAAAGAAAAGGTGAAATCACAGCATTCCTGTCATCCCGATGTAAACCTGGTACCCGTGCTTGCAGCACAAGGGCTATAATCATCCCGCCCCCCATCCTAGCTCACCTGCGTTAGTTGCCCAGTGAGTCTCAAATAAAGACATAACACATGTCGTGCCAATTTTTTGTGAGTTTAATCGAGGTTCGAAGCCTAACTCGCTTTTTTCCAATTTTCACGTGTCCAGCATGGAAGCTTCTAATTAAATTCTTCCGACGTCTCTACGTCACTTGCAGCAGCGTCGATTGACGCGAGATGGTCCGTACCAGCGGCGCCCTACTCGCCGCCTGCTGTGAGCCTCCGTAGTATGCGCGTCAACGCGACGATACCGGCCATCGGTCGGCGCCTGCGCCTTGAGCCGCTCAAACTTGAGGCGGAGGCTGTCGAGAAACTTCTTCTTCGCTGGGATCGTCGAGTCGGCCATGGCTTGGATCACGCGGAACTTCTTCTCTTCCTTGAGCTGCACGACGTACTTGGCGAGGTCGTTGGACTCTTCGGCCGTCAAGCCCGCGAGGCAGCGGAAGAAGGCCGAGGACGCGTCCGACGGCAGCGACGTCAAGAGCGCGTTCAGCACGTCGCCGAAGCTCGCGTCGCCCGACGGACAGCTCTCTTCCTTGACGACGACGGTCGCCATGACTGCGTTCGACTGGGTTAAATACAAATTGACTGCCTCTCCCAGAAGCCCGATCCGATACAAATACCAAGTACAACGCGGTTGCCATACAAAACCCAAGTATACTACGAGGTATACAAGGACCAAGGTTCGGGAACTTCCTTGGAACCGCGTGGGACATGCCCTAGAAACAACACAAGGAGGCTCGTTACAATATATCGTCCACTCAGTTCTCATCTGTCACATTGGTAGCTCGGTCGGCGTACTATTCGCCACCTAGTAAAGGCGTGCAGGAGTAGTTACTTGGTTGGCAATACACTGTAGTGAGTACGTGACGTTGTCCTAGCCTCGTATCCGTCCAGGTAGCGTGGTGTGGATTGAACCATGAGAGAACGGTGGGGTGGTTTCGGTGCTGCGAACGACGCCGTCGATGGGAATGGATGACAGGCGGTGGACCTGCTTCAATCGCGCTTGTCACGCGCGCATGCTTTTGCAGCAGCGACGAGCATCCCGTGTTTATGGGCGTGGATGGTGCCACGGAACGCGGCGTTGTTTTAAGGGAGTATGCCCAGAAAGGCAAAGTGGGATGCACTTTCTCCTTGCCACGTTCCCGTCGCTGGAAGGCGGCGCGCTCCTCCGTACGTCTCTCGACCTAATGGCATTACATTGAAGTGGAAGATATTGTCTTCTTTGGTCTATGGCCTACCCGCCACGTTCTGCGGACGCATCGACAACGCCGACAGAGAATCCTTTGGCGCCGATCCCTTCGTTTGGATTCGCAGCTGCTTGGTCGACTCGCAACGACAACCAGGATCGTCCATAGCCTCAAGCCTACCGGTAGTCGAGTCCTTTAAAGTATTCTTGAACCTTGTGCAGCACCGGTAGGTATGTATATTGCTGCAGAGAGGCGCGCGCCTCGACGTTGGTCACGCGTTCGATCGACGGGTGGGTGCATCCAAGCCACGTCAGCGTGCACGCCAGTCTCAGTTGGTGCCACAGTGGTAGTAGCCACAGCAGCGTCCGCATCCAACCGGGCAATCAAACCAAGAACGCGTTCGCTTTGCGCTGCCTCTTCCTCCCATCGTACTACTAGTGCGGAGTTGCAGCTCGGAGGCGAGCAACCAGAGACGTTTCGTTGTCTTCCCTGCTACAGCTCAGCGATATCGATATCGCCCGTGACGACCACGAAGCGACAGGACAATCTGTACGTGTTATGTTGGCACTGAAGTCGCTGGTGGACACACTGAAGTCGCTGGTGGACCGACTAGTCGGACGCCCACCCGTCGGACGAGTCGTCGTCCCACTCAATGTCGCCGAGGTCCGTCGTGGGCTGGACCACCACGTCCTTGGTTACTACACTCGGTGCCAACGCCGGTGCCAACGCCGGTGTCGAAGCTGGTGCCGGTGCACTCGCAAGGCGCTCGCAGTGACAGCAACTAGAATCGATCGTGGGCATGCTATCGAAGG